CAGCTAATCAAAGAGAGGAACTTTAGCTTTGAGAAGAAAGAAAAACAAGGGCATGTCAAGGCCTCAACCAAAAATGTATGTAAAATAATCTGAACAGCTTGATTAGCCAGAATGAGATTAGAAGTTGCATTTTGGGCCTTTGAAACATATGGTGTAGCGTATTATATATCACCTCTCCGCAATCTCTACAATGGCATGCCTATACGAACAGCCTCATTTCCACCCATAGTACAAAGAAAAAACTATACTCCTCTGAAAATGTTGTGTGTGAGTAAGAGAATGGTAAAGTTGTACAAACTCTACCTTCCAAAAGAGAAAACACCCTGTTTTATCAAAATAATTGAATGGGTGCTAAATGAAAACTAATGTCTTAAACGATAGTACATACTGAGAAGTGATGATTCATGATTAAGAGGATTCTGTGTGTATTATTGCACTGTGCTGTTCTTTCTGTTGTTCTTGTCACAGTATTTCCCTGCTGCTAAGAGATTACATTAAAGAGCAATATGCACTGTCCATCTTAGATCTCTTTAAATACTACTGTTCAGTACTTGATGAAAAGCTTACAAATACCACTCAGTTCATTGTCAGTTCTTTCTAATACTATAAAACCAGGAAGCTTTTGAAAGCTATTATTATGGTAGGCATTTTACATGTAACCAGGGCTTGAATTTGGACCCAGTCTGGCAATGCAGTATAATAGTTTCATATGTTAAAATAAACTATAGATACAGATAGTGTAGAGAGAAAAGAAGTGAACAGAAAAAATTATCAAAGAATGTACAATCAAATATTTCCTATCAATAGTCTGTTAAGACAGGAACAGGTATTATAACATGAAAATGTGTTTTGTAGTTATTATACTGTAGTTAATTGTAGCAGAGTTATATGCTTTTTGTTTTTAAGTACCAGAGCTTGATGGTCAGGACTTTCTTTGTCTTTAAATTTTAAGAATAGAAAAAAAAGTCTATGAGCCAGTAGTTGGCAGACCCTGTTAGCAAGGATATAGTGCTTTTCACTGTAAATCTCATCTACAAGGTGTGATTGCTTTTCCAGTTCACACTTAGTGAAGAAAGAATTGGACTAATGCTACACTAAGAACCTTTCCAATTACATAATTGGGATGTTTAATTAAGTGACACGCTTAATATGTAAATCCAAGACATTCAGAAATACTCCAGCTGAACTAGATTGTAAATAGAAATGCACTTATTATAGCAAATAAAAAGGTTGGTCCATTTTCATAACTCTTCAAAGAACTATTTAGATTCATTTGAGGGTAGGCATGATCTTTGAATTGTTTCTTAAGAACTTTTTGGCCCTTTCAATGAGGTACGCTTAGAAGCTTAATGTAAACACATTGATAATTTATTTCTTAAAATCTAAAGGCATTTCCTACCTACTCTAAGATAATGTCTAAATGCTGCTGACTTTTACTATTTTGACTGATTTCAAGTTTCAGAATGTTTCTTCTCTCATTTCAGAATATATAACCCTATCTTTATGTTCATGTACCTAGTATTTCTTGGTGCCCAGAGCAACACATCTGGTTTATGCTTAATTCATCTAATGAGAAAATAAATAGGGTAAATTAAACCCTTACTTGATGTATCACTATAGGGACTTTTTAGATCTGTCAGCATAGCAAATACCAAGAGAGAAAAAAATTCTCTACCAACCAAAATTGACTGTTTTTTCATTCTTCACTCTGAAAGAGATTTTAATGGATAGAATAAGTTTCTTCTAGGACATCCATTTAAGTAAATTATTCCTTCTGATTTCATTTGGTAGCTGCATAATATATATCATGTTTTCTTAGACCCAACCAAACTTTTATTTAATTTCTCACCAGAAGATATCTGAGGTAACTACTTCCTCCCTTCCTCTATCGCACATCTAAATTGTGGTTCCTCAGAAGAACATTTGCATTAACAAAATTACATATCTAGCGGGAAATATTTCCTTATGCTTAATACCTAAGTTGCTAATGTATATATATATTTTAGAAAGTTATCCATAGACCTTCAAATCTGATACTGATTTAGCTTTTTAAGTATTGATAAGTAGCATAATACTTGTTCATCTTTATTTATCTTTTTTTAGTGAATTCCTAGAGTAACTTATAGTAGCAAAAAAAATGCAATGGGACAGTAACAAAAGTGATTAAGGAGGAATAAAGGAAATGTGTCACTTAAAATAAATCACTTAAAAATGGAGAAGTTCTGCATTTTGAGAATCATTCATTTCTGAACAAGGTACATTGAGCAGTTTACATTAACACATAACTGACACTTGTAGGAAAACTAGTTTTCTATTTATTGAAATAATTTAAATTTTTATTAGCCTCAAATATTTCGTTTGGGAAGAGCTTATGTATGTGGATTTTGAGACAATATTATTGGCTTATTTGTAATGTTAAAAATCTCTAAGAAGTGCACCTGTGCTTTCTTACATATATAGTTATTTTTAATTTGTGTTTTTGTACATATCTTACAGAAGTAGAATGTTCAATTAGTTGTGTGTTACTTGACTTATCTTTCTACCTATCTTATATCTATGTATTGTCAGTTTTAGATGGCAATGTCATAGATGGTAGGCCAAAAACTGCTTAAAATTTTCTGAACATCACATTACATGTGATTCATATGTTATTAGAATGACAGTGATGTGCTTATTTTTATGCCTTAAAAGTTTAATTTCAAGGAAGATACACGCCATTTAATATTTAAGAAATGATTATCCACTCATAGCAAAAGGGAAAAAATAAACTCTAAAGAATGAAAAGATAAAAAAAAACTTGCTTAAATTTGTTTATACACTAGATCACTCATAATAGCAACAAGCTATAGGATAATAATCTGCATAAGCTGAGATCTGACTCTAAACTTGAAGTGCATGCCTTTATTCATAAAACTTTTCTTAGAAAATGCATTTGTTATTGGTTACACATAAAGTGGTTTTAGTTGTCGTAGATAAGTGAAAACAATATGCTAAAAAGTGATAAGAGGCTGTTAGGTGAGAGCAGTATGGCAAGTTTCTCATCACATAATAAATGTTATAGAATATATATATATGTATATTTATATGTATATAGTTACCTACAGCTATGTAATATCTATTCATCTACTTACCTATCTATTTATCTAGATTGGCAGACTTTTTAAAGTTTAATATACCTGTCTTTCTCTGTCTCTTGATTCCAGTTTGATTCTTTGTTGTTTGGATACAGTATAAGGTAAATGATTATGGAAAGAAAAGGCATTTTTGTACATAGATACTTGTTTTCCAAACTGTTTTGTTTTAACTATTCTATTTGTTAATAAAAGAACAAACAAATAAGTAAACTGACCATTAAGTATTTAAACAACTAAACAGATGGGTTACCATTTGGATAAATTATATTTACAGCATGTAATTAATTTCTGGTATTATGATAAATTAAAATACAGTAACTTCTAATATGTCAGTGTGTTTTAAAAAAATCCAGAAATATTTTTGAAAATATCACTTTTGAATTTCTTTGTTATAATGTAATTCTTTTCCTTCCACAAAATTATATCTACTTAATTCATCTTTCTAGATACCAAATGAAACAGAAAGACATAGCTCTTTTTAGTATTAAATATGAACATATTTTTCTTAAGAGAGCACTTAATCTACCCTGAATTTCTTTTCTTCTAATTTCTTTTTCATTATTAATTTCTCCTTTCTTTATAACATAAAATGCCAGACTTGAAAATATTGAGTTGCATTAAAAAGACTATTAAAATAAATTGTGAACCATATCTGTTAATCCTTTTCTGTTTTCAAAGACACGTGGTGTTCCAAGAATTTGTTCTAAAGCATTATGTGTATAAATACTTGCTCTTATTTACAGCAAAAGGGAATTGTTTTTTTCTAGGAAAGAAAGTGATTGCTTTTTCAAAGTTTGCAAATTTGGCAAGTTGACATGCTGCTTAGTACTACAAGTGATGCCTTCAAGTAGTGTGACTGCCTCAGGAACTTAGCATGTACCTCAGACTTTTATGCAAGGTTTTCCTGTTTCCCTCTCTTGCCATCCTTTTCCTATCTCTCCACATCCTTTGTCTACTAGTATTTCTCTAGGACTTTCTCTCTAGCTTTTCTTACACTGTATTTTTCTTGCTTCCTCTTTCTCCTGTTTCTTTCTCTGCCTCCTTATTTCCTTTTATTCTTTGACTCTTTCATTCTCAGACCATTGAGAAGGAAATGGTAGAAAGGAAATGTTAAACAAAATACTTTTTTCAGTTTAATGAATAATCCTTCAGTAATTTTTAGATTTCTAGACTTCCTGGTGTATGTTTAGTTAGCTTGAGATAAAATTTTTAAAGATGAAGCTGTGATTCCTTCTTTGAGAGGATCTATGGAATTATTTGGTGAGATATATATAGTAGATGAGTTACTACATGTACTCATGTGGTAATATGTATTATTATATGTATTTTCTAGCACTATTATATATTTTATTTATATATAAAATTTTGAAGATGGTGATTATGTTTTATGAGTAAGCACATTCTACATACATTCTTTTTACTAGCTTTGATAACATATTTATAGGCATATTATTTCCTATTGTTTAATCTCTATTATTTATCTTAATCATATCTTTAAAACATTCCAAAAAGCGTTTTATTTCTAGCATTGGGACTTACATGATCCATTATGAAGTAATGAGAACACTGTTTATCACAACTGTTTATTTTTAACTACGCTAGTAAAAGCTCAAATACCTTAGTATAATACATTAGAGGTGTGGAGCATGAAGATAGAATCTTTATGATGAAATATGACGCATCTAGAAAGCTAGTGTATAACAACAGTGGTACTTTAATATTATTATTAAAACATTAGATAGTATATCAAATATTACATAAAATTATAGGTCATCATCACTAAGGAATTTATTAGCGATGACATACAGCTGTGAAATATGTTAACAGACATTGGTTGTGACCACATTTTCTCTTTTCTCTGTCTAGGTACCCGTGTCGGTGGCCATGATGACTCCCCAGGTAATTACCCCCCAGCAAATGCAGCAGATCCTTCAGCAGCAAGTCCTGTCTCCTCAGCAGCTCCAAGCCCTTCTCCAGCAGCAGCAGGCGGTCATGCTGCAGCAGGTAATGTGGGTTACCTGCTTTGGTGTTCTCGCCTGGCATGGGAGGCACGCCCTCATGGTCACTGCATCATGGGCATATTTGACAATTTATTCTTCATTCGAAGGGCCAACTTATCAGCATCTGAACATAACTGTGGTGCTTTAATTGCTGAGCTGCATAAGAACAGACGCCTTGTTGTTGTTTTTAGATTCATTGAAGTGTAGAATAAGAGCAGAGAGAGGTGTAATTGTATCATGGAATAAATCAGTATTTAAATATCCAAATGCTTAGGTACATTTGTTTTGTAGACTTGCCAATAAACCTACAAAGAGACTCCTAGGTAATTATTACTTTTAAAACTCCTTTAACTTTAGCACTCTTTTTAGTTCGTGTAAGTATGAAATTTGAACTATTTTGTTACAATAGGGAAAGTAACACCCCAACTCCCCGCCCCCCCCGCCCAAAAAAATATGTTATTTGTTTAGAAACAGAAGTATCTCCTTATTAGGACAAAGTTAAACAGCTAAGCCACCAGCTCATAAAATCATAAAATTTATCTTTTAAAAAAAAGTAACAGAACTAATAAGTACATCACTGGACCCTTAAGTATATCTAGAGTGGCCTTGATGTCATTGAGTTGCCTGGGGATGATGGTGACCACAGGCCAGTCGCTTCTATCTCTGTCTGACATTCTTCTGTACATCTACTGACTACATTTTCCCCAATCAGAACTGAACAACCCGATTCTCTATAGCTATGTATTTGGGTTGTATAAATGGTCGAGTATAACCTATTTTTACATGCTACTGGGACTTCGGATGTCATAATTTAGGATATTTATTTGGTTCTGGCCCTTTAGAATACAGATTTTCTATACTCTTTTATTTAGGGCTTTTTTTGGATTCTGGATTGGAAAATTTCAGAGCTGCCTCGGAAAAATGTGTATGCAGATGTCTCCCTAAATCCAATGTCTATTTTTGTTGTTGTCCTTGGGAGGCAAATCTTAACGGACACTACCGTATGCCAGTCTAGGAGAGTGTAGGAGATTTGTAATACATGAAACTTTTGCCTTTATTTATTAAAGTCAAAATGGTTTATTCAGCAACAACTACAAGAGTTTTACAAGAAACAGCAAGAGCAGTTACATCTTCAGCTTTTGCAGCAGCAGCAACAGCAGCAGCAGCAGCAGCAACAGCAGCAGCAGCAACAGCAACAACAACAGCAGCAGCAACAGCAGCAGCAGCAACAGCAGCAGCAGCAGCAGCAGCAACAACATCCCGGAAAGCAAGTGAAAGAGGTAGGATCTGGCCCGCTCCCTGGTGCAGAAGAGTGTGAGGTTGGGACGGACAGTGCAGCCGGGGTGGGCTCGGATCTTCCTGTCACAAGGCTTTTGCTGTCAAAGATGCGTCCTCATGCATTTTTCCTGAGCTGAATAACAGTGACCGCAGCACGATCCTGCTGTCCTCTTTCCGTAGCTTGGAACTTGAGAGTTCCAATCCAATGCTGCTGCCATCTAATGTTCACTAATGAATCAGTGTACAAAGAGCAAGCTGCGCGCTGAACAAAGTACCGATTACCTCGTGTTTACGGAGAATCTAAGTTGGTGAGGGCACCGTCTTTTTCTCAGGGCTGCCGCTCAGAGCACATGCATGCAAATTTGACCTATTGTTGGGGGTTGGGGGGTCTCGGGGAGAAACTGGTTGAGCACAGATTTCAAAGTCACAGGCCTCTGATTAATGAACTGCTACTGTAGGTTTGGAGTGGCGAGTAGAAAGTTCCAGTTTGATATGCTCATAAATCAATTTGACAAGCCGGCTTCTCGGGCCTAGCTTGCACTTGTCAGCAAACTGCATCAACTATAAACATAATACAAACAAAACATGTTGAAGTAGTTAAATTGATCAGCAGGTATCAGAGCCGTTGTCTTCAAGCTGCCATTATGCAAACGTCCAGGAAACAGTTTTGACCTCCCGAGGCTTTGATTTTGTTTGGATTTGTGAATAGAATTTCAGACAGCCATCAACTACAGAATAGAAATTGCTCCCTTATTTCTCTGGAGGCTTTGGGCAATCCACATGACTTGCTCCATTATGCAGTCTGTTTTCCAGTGAGCGCATCAGAAGTTTCTTTTCCCCAAACTAAAAGGAAAGGTCTTCGAAGCAGCTTGTCTTTCTCTGAAGTTTGACTTCCTTCCCATACCCTCCTGAGTCCAAAGAACTAGGGTTCGTATTGTTATGCCTCACCAAGTTGGAAGTTATACTTTTCCTTCTAATAAGGGCACTTTTTTGGCCTTGAACATAATTCAGCCTTTAATATATTCCTACAAGAGAGGAGAGGAAGGAAGAGAGAGAGCTCACAGACCTATCCTGTGAAGGTTACATCCCAGTTCACTAATAGATCACTAGAGACCACATTCGTGGACCTCTGCAGATCAAAGTTACTCCACTGGGGGGAATAGGGGGAGAGGGTGTTGTTGAACTTGACTGTTTCTATAAACTGTTATTCTTTTAGCCGAGGTAAATGAACTATCATCTGCAATAAGCCCATTATAAAAAAAAAGAAAAAGTCTGAGCTTTTGTTATATATTTCTCTAGCCCTTGTCCCAGACTCTTAATGCAAATTCTTTGGTTCTCTGCTGCTGCGGCATAACATTTGAAAGAAAGGCAACTGAAAATCTAGAACTTGCATGCATTCTGCCCGTGAAAGCTTCCTGGGTGGTGAGAGGATGTGCGTTTCTCTGTGTGAGGCCTGTGTGCGACCATGTTCTGTGCTGTTGACGGGGCTGGGTGTCCCGGCAGCAGCAGCAGCAGCAGCAACAGCAGCAGCAGCAGCAGCAGTTGGCAGCCCAGCAGCTTGTCTTCCAGCAGCAGCTTCTCCAGATGCAACAGCTCCAGCAGCAGCAACATCTGCTCAGCCTTCAGCGTCAGGGACTCATCTCCATCCCACCTGGCCAGGCGGCGCTTCCCGTCCAATCGCTGCCTCAAGGTACCTGCAAAACGTGTGCACTTCATTTCTAATGTGACACTTCCTACCGGTTCGTGGCCTGCCTACCGCACACCTTGAGAATTTTGTTTCTGTGGCCTTCAGGTTTATTATGAAAACACGATTAACAAGATTGCGTGTCACACTTTTTTTTTTTGAGACACAGAAATTTTACTACACCCTGCCTTCGAGTGTTCTGTTAGATAGTAAATGTGCATTTATTAGTCATGTGGCAGACAATTATAAGGGCAACAGAATTTAAGCACTGTTAAACATACACTGAAAAACTGCAGAGAACTGTATTAGTGGTAAGGCTAACAGTACTCATTAACACGAATGAGCTGAGTTTTGTGGACAACCGATCAGAAAAAGAAGTTCCTAATCTTCATATTGAAACCTCCACATATAAAAAAAGAGGTTTTATGAATTTCTACAGAGCACATTCCTAGTTATGCTGTGTGGGATCCCATTATGGGAAGAGACCGGTCCTATTTTCTCTGAAATAATATTACCTATGCGTATGTTGAACATTATAGCTTTTTTATTTTTCATTATAGCTTTAAAAAGCTGTCAGCTGTGTTCTTATTTGATTTTCTGGAAAGAAAACTGGAGGTGTGCTTTGATAATACAATAACACTATAATAAAATAATAGAATGCTAAACAATAATACAATTGTATATATTTATCATTTGACTCTTAACTTTGGGGAAATGGAAAGACTTCTAGGTAAATAAAAGAAAAATAATGGCAATAAAATGATTCTGTGCATGTTAAAATTCTCGATACAGGTAGTTAGGATCATATATTGATAAATTGCATAAAAGCATATTCTAATTTGCATTAGGATGTTGTTAGAACAAAGTTTAATCCCAATGAACTTTAGTTTGAGTTCATTATATTTGTTACATAGGAATCACATTGAAATAGTAATTGCTGTACATTTTTCTGACTTAATGATACACTAAAGAAAATCAATAGCAATTAAATATACAAAAAGTACAATTAGGCAAATAAAATAGTTTTTAAAATGCACATAATCGTTGTGTTGCCACATGAAATTAAAAGTAGTGTGGTAAATATTTTTATCTTTACTTATCAAATTGTTGTCATTTTGGATTATTTTTCCTAGAATTCCCTCTTTCACTTGATTCAGATACTCTAATTCACCTGATCCTCTAATTTACACCTAGAAAATCAAGAAAGTTTAAATAGTGACAGAAAAGCAAGGCAATAAACCCACTTTCTGTGCCACTCCAAAGAGAATTGGAATAAATCATGGTGTCACCTTAGCAATGAATGTTCTATTAACAAATTATTCTTTAGGAAAATAAATACAATTTGAGGACAAATGAAGAAATAAGGTTAAAAAAAGAAAGACTTATAAATTAATTCAGTGTAAATATGGATACCTTTGGTAGAAAACTACATTAATACAGAAGCAAAAGAAATAACTGTATTGATTTTTTTCAGTAAAATAAAATCTGTTTTTAGGATTTAAAATCTATGCAAATCTCCTCAGTCGTGAAGCATGATCTATCTTGATTTTGACTAAAACCATTCAAACAGGCATTTCAAGAAAGTTTAAAACAGATGTTCATAGAAACAAAATGTAATTTATTTGAAATATATTTGTTAAATATTTGTTTCCAAAATAAGCATACAAAAATACCTTTCTGAACAAATAGACGTATTATCACACAACCATTCTAATAGTTTTCAAATGAAAATTTTCTCTTATTTCTGAGCTTTCTTTTGATAGAATTCTCTTGTTCCCTTTTATTTTATTGCTACGCTTCACAAGATAGCTGAGAGATAAGACACACAGGACAGAGGCCATTGAGGACAAGGAAGGAAATCTGAAAATGTATCTGGGGTTTGAGCAGAAAATTTATATGTTAAACAAACAAGATGAAAATCATTTTCATGTTTTCCAGTGTTTAGATGAGTAAGTGTGAAAAGTTTTACTGTGGAGAACCATCAGCCAAACACAGCCAGACTGTCAGATAAGCCAGTTACAATAAGGAAAGAAAAAAAAAAATTCTTCAGAGTGCTGTGCCAGAATCCCAAAATTAGAGTGTGGGAAAGTAAAGAAATATTTGTTAGATAATGTAAGCCCTGGATCATTTCTGCCTTAGATACTGGGTATTTCACATAAAAAAATTTTAAATTTTTTTTTTATTTATAGTTTCCCAGTTCACTTTGCATCAGGCTTTGGATGGTTGACTGATTAGCCACAGATAAGAGCCATATGAAAACTGAGTAGGATTAATATTCAGTGATAATGTTCTCAGTGCATTCTTGAAAATATGCCATATTTGAAGTATTTATCCCCATGATTTAATACAACTTCCTCGGGCTGCTTTCAAAGTTAAAACTTTTTTCAACTCTGTTAAATATATGTATATGAGAATCAGGTAATTTTGATAAAAGCAGGAGATATACTCACATTTTTATTTATATTGTAAAGTAATGACACGTATTCTACCATTTCAGTAAATTATTTTAAATATGAAGCATTTAAAGTAATCATGAGTATTACTATAATATTGAATTTTAATGTAAAATAGGCAGTTAGATTATCTCTATGTGTATAGAGTGACTGTAGATATACAGAAAGCAAATAAAAAATGATGGATTTGTAAATCAATCTCAAATAAAATACTGAATATAAAGCTATTTACTACATACATAGTATAGTTTAAATACTAACTAGTAATTATTTAGAAATACATATTCATTGTCTACAGGTTGGAAAATAGGAAATTATTGTGCATGTACTTTAAATTTTGATAAAAGATAAAAGTCAGTGTATCCCAGTACACAGTATATTTACTGGTTTACTATGATTACAGGGACTAAAATATATGTGGTAAAAACTCCATTTCATTCTAATGTTTTAGATATTTTTGAACTTATAAAAGTTATTTAAAACATATTTTCATTACCAATCTGAAAGACCAAACAGGAAGTACTGGCTATGGAGCTGGTACAATTTTGAACTAACACTTTATGGAACTAGAACAGCTTGGAATCAGAGAACTGTCGAATAATAAAGAGATTGTTTGAAATAATATATACTAATAAAAGGGTAATATGCTAATTAGGCCAGGAGACCAGACATCTTCCGAATGTCCAACTTTCTTCCGGACAAAGCTATGGTGGTGGGGGCCAAGGCAGAGGCAGTTAGGGGTGATCAGGTCGGCAGGGGAGGGCAGTTGGGGGCCATGAGGCCGGCAGGGGAGGGCAGTTGGTGGCCATCAGGCAGGCAGGGGAGCGGTTAGGTGGAGATCAAGCCGGTAAGCAGGCAAGTGGTTAGGAGCCAGTGGTCCCGGATTGTAAGAGGGATGTCCAGCAGTCAGACATCCCCCAAGGGGTGTCAGATTGGAGAGGGTGCAGGCCAGGCTGAGGGACACCCCCGTGCATGAATTTTGTGCACTGGTCTCTAGTCCTATATAATAAAAGGCTAATATGCAAATCAACCAAACGGCAGAACAACCAGTCACTATGATGTGCACTGACCACCAGGGGGAAGATGCTCAATGCAGGAGCTGCCCCCTAGTGGTCAGTGTGCTCCCACAGGAGGAGGGCCGCTCAGCCAGAAGCTCATGGCTGGTGAGTGCAACGGCGGTGGCGGGAGCCTCTCCCGCTGCAGCGTTTAGGATGTTGGACTGCCATCAGTCGGACATCCCCTAAGGGCTTCTGGACTGCGAGAGGGCACAGGCGGGGCTGAGGGACCCCCCCTCAAGTGCACAAATTTTGTGCAGCAGGCCTCTAGTCTATAATAATGTCATTTATGCTGAGTTAGGAAGGTGCCGAAGTTTATCTTTGGTATGAGTATTTAGTCAAAATCAATTATTTGGCTTTGACTTCACTCTCTGCATATGGAAATTTAAATAGCCGAATGCCTACTTCAACACCATTCTGGCATCCTTGATTTTTTTGGTTAATTTATGATCATGTGCTTGCACAGATCACCAATGCATAATCAGTGTAAAGCACCAGTAATATGAAAAAGTATGACATGCAGAGTTACTGTTACCATCATAGGATTCCCTTTCAAATCCAAGTAAGTTTCTATTTGTAATTTGGAGGGAAAATAATATATTGTGTGTGGGGGGGGGTGGGGGCAGTTATATGCTAAAACTCCATCAGTGAGCAGACGTGTAAATGTACACAGTACATTTATTATTGCAGGTATAAAACTTATCTAAGTTACCTGTGAATACTAATATTATGTATAATATCTAACATATATTATGAAATACATTGGAAAATATTAAAGTGTGTTGAGTTAGTTTTTGAGAAAATGTAAAAATGGTAGAAAGATGAAGATTAAATGATTTCAAATCTAATTGTTATAGAATTATTTAATGAGCTAGCATACATAATTTCATTTAGGCTGCAAGACTTGAAAAAAACTTCTGTTTGTCAATTCTTTATGTCTTGAAGGAAGACTAAAGAGTGGAATGTCAGCTTTGCCACATTGAAATATTTGGATGATGAAAACTGAGAAATTATTGTTTTGCAATATAATATCAAACTTTAAAAATGCATCCTATAAAAATTGTAATATTAAAATCATAGGAGTAATTTTCAAAATATCAAATATATTCCTATATCGCAGAAGTTCCTGTTTTTGTTACTCTATTTGCCTTTGGTCTCAGTTTCAGCCAAATAGTGACTTTTATTCCCTATAATTCAGCATTTGGACAAAATGTGTGTTTGATGCACCCTTCATTAAACATATATTTTAAAGATGGGCATTGTACCTACAGGCTATAGTAGCCCCTAGTCAAATATAAAAATATAATGTGTTAGGTTTGGCACATTACATATGAACAAATAGTTCTCTGAAAGGTAGCCTAAAGGTTGAAATAATATGGCCTCTGGAGAAGAGAACTGAGGACCCAGAGGTCAGGGCTGGTGAGGAAATTTAATTTTGACATATACACTTTTTTGTGATTTAATTATTTTGGTCATGTGTGGACACTCATTTTTCAAA